GAATATAAGGAAATTTACTGCAGCAAGAGAAATATAGATTAAGCTCATTAACAGAATGAATGGAGGAGGGGTTGCGGAAAATGTTTATAATGAGAAAATAATAATTTTATGGAGTACCATAGAATTTGTGGAGTTCTAAGAATGCTTTGTGGAATGCTATGACAGGGGACATAGATGAGAAAAAAATTAGTTTGAGAATAGTTGCTGCAAAATTATGAACAGCCGAAATATATTGTATAATTTATTTAATGGGGAAAAAACTTATGTACTTATTGAGCATCTGTACTGACCCTTTTGGAGCAATTTGCTTTTGCCTGGTTTATTTTCAGATCAGCTAAAGCAGGAGTGTCAAACTCAATTTCACTGAGGGCCGCATCAAGATTCTGTTTGACCTCAGGAGGCCGGGTTGGGCTTGGTCAGCTCAACCTCACTTCTATCGGGGGCGCCTGAGGTGGCCTGAGCGCTCTGCCAGTGAAAACAGGCTCCCAAACTCCATTTTCACTGACAGAGGGTTGCAGGAGGCTGTGGCAGCTGAAAACAGAGCTCGGGCGCCTGTTTTTGCTGGCAGAAGCACCATGGGCCGGTCCTTTGCTGTTTCCAGGGCAGCTCCGTAGGCCAGATCTAAGTACCCCATGAGCTGGCTCCAGCTCCTGGGCCTTGAGTTTGACACCCCTGAGCTAAAGGATAGGCAGCAGTACTCGGTAAGGGACAAGTCAGTCAACATAGATTCTGCTTAGCAGTTTGAAAAAGGGCATCAGTGAAGATAGAGTGTAAGGGTATCTTGTAAGGAGAATTGGAAATGTGCAAGATAAATTACAGGACATAATATCTGATGTTCTGCTGGCATTCCAGGCAGCTAGTAAAGTTTGCCACCTATTGAAACAGTCTTCATGGTTCATTTCATTCATATGGATGATGAAACACTGGATTTTTCACAGCATTTAAGGCAATATTTGGAGCCAACTTTATCAATCAAAGAACTAAACAAAAAGGCTATGATTATTTTATATTGAATTAATCTTTTATAGAGGTGAATTAAATTGTCAGAGTCAATGCATTCATCTCACTGTTGTGTAACATTTAAATTAAAACTAATGAAACTGTGCAGACAATATTTGTTTATGTATTATACCAGTGGCTTTCATTGACTCTCACTGGTTTACCATAATCTTTACTGAACATCATTAAGAAATAGCCCTTAATTATATTTCT